AAGTAGATGGGAGGCCGAGGTAGTAGGGTATTGATGATGCGAGGTGTCTAAGGAGATCAAGGTCGAAGCCAATGTTTTGTCGAAAGATAGGCTGCTGTAAGCGGCAATAAGCAACGCCATCGCAGCCAGCGAGCAATCAGCATGACGCGTCGTTGCAGAACGAGTCTTGCTGTGGATATTGACCCCGGACGAACAGGGGCCGCAAGCACGATCCTACAGCCAAAAGTGGGCATGTGTCGCGTGTGTAGCAACAGTCTCGGCGCTACCAAGGCATGCTTGCTCTCAGTCTATAAACATTCTCCCAGCCTGGGCGATTCGCCACCCACCCCTGTTCTCAGATCAGTCTCCTGAGCCATTATTACTGCTCGAATACCATACATATAGAGACGTTGTGCGCTTCAGGCCAAAATTAATGGGACATCGGTAGCTTGTACGCGTGGTTGGTGCGGGTTATTCGGCACCAAGGCCCACTTTGTGGCGTAATCTGTGGACGTATGCCTTGGATCCTTACGTACTATGCTACATGGCAGAAATAATGTATGTGGGGCACTAGCAAGGGTCTGTTTGAGCTAATCTGATGTCAGATGGTAATAAAACACTAATTAGTATTTAGTATAGCCGCCCTCAGCGTCTATTACAGCTTAGCACCTATCGCTTATCTTAGCTACTAGATTATCTAGATATTCTAGAGTAATCTACTCCTAAGCCTCTATTACAATTACCTGTAGCTAATTATGTAATCGTTGCCGCCTACGTATTAGCGTCTAGGGCGTAGCTATATTAGCGAGTATCTACGTAAAGAAACGTATAAGTTACCTATAATAAATGTTAAAAAAAAGGAGAGCTTATACTATATTAAATTAGGTAAAGGTCCGTCCGAAGTGGCGCGGGATATAAGATTTTAGCGTCCCTATAGTACAAAACTTGTGCCATGTAGCGTTGCATGCCAGGCACGCTATCCTGCTAAAACTCAATGCGCCATCCTGTCTGATGTATGAGACCCGGTTAGCCATAACGCCGGTCATCACCCCCACTTGTACAGTTCACTCTTTATTGAACTTCAAAATCGAAAACCTTTTCATAAGGAAATCTCGCGTTTCTCCCGCATCATCAATCCATTGCGCAACCACAAATGCCTTTTCCGCCCACCTCTTGGCCTTTTCATCGTTCTCGTGCACATAGTAGTCGATTGCGCGATTGAATGCTGTGGTCGCTAGCCACTCCAACTCCGTCCTGGGATAGCGTTCGGTTTCCTTGGTCATTTTGTCAGCCAAGTCTGCAGTGTCTCCATCTGCGCATAATATAATCTAAGAGTGCTCGTGGCATGCCTAACCTTAGGGCGGTAGTGATAGGGTAGTATCGCAATGGGCGCAGAAGAGTGTAGTGGCAGGACTAGGAAATTGGACTCACGCTCTGCTTTGTTGCCGCGATGTGTGTGACTTGGTCGATGCATTTAAGACTGGATTCATCATCAAACGGGAGTGAGAGGCTGAAAAGGCATCGGAGCCATCGCGACAACCTCGGCATATCGCTGCCTGGTTGTCGGCTGACTAGATTGACTATCTTCTGGAGAACAGATAGTACTTCTGTGGGGCTTATTAGTCTAGCTCTGACGATGATTCTTCATAGCCGTCTCACTTTTCTGGTACTTGATGTCTAGTTCTGCTTGTACGATACAATGATGGATGACCAAGGTAAGGTCGGCCAGTGTTTCGTAGTGATATGGGTTCCTGTATACCCAGCACTGATCAAAGAGTTCGTCAAGCTCATCCCATTTTCGAAGCTTGAGTGAAGCTTCAAGTTCCAACTTGACAACCTGGAAGTGTTTCGAGATTATGTCAGCTTTAACAGACTCATCGAGTCCGTTCATGATTTCTGATACGGCGCGTCGGAAGTTCTGGCTATGCTTGCGAACCTCCAAATACTGTTGGGCCTTTCTAAGTCGTCACTGCTGATCTCATTTTCAGACGTACAGCGAGTATAACTTACATTTTGCTCAATATTATCCTCCGCACGCGCCAAAGTAATCCAAGTACAAGCAGCAAGAAACTCACAGAAGAGCAGCCGAAGACCAAGATCGTTACTCGTATTTGAAATATCTTTTTCTTTTAGTAGTTTGATGAACTGAGAATCGTCAATAACTTCTTTTCACATGATGGCAGACTGTGCTGACCTCCACACAGCAATCAAGCAGTCTGGTAAGGTGTGCTGGGGGCATTTCAGCACAGTGTTTTAGTGATAGATTGTAAGAGTTCTTGGAGAACCATTCGAACTCCACATCTGTGAACAGCTCTTTGGCAGGAGTGCTTGGCCTAGTTCGGGATGCTTTGGCCTGATCACGGGCTTGCTAACGTTAAATGAGTCTTCGCGTCAGGTGTCTTCACATACCCGCTTCGAATGACTTGCAAATCTGTTCTAGAATGGCGATGTCGATTTTACCATCATTGATGAGTTCGGACTGCAGCATACGCGTAGTTGAGCTGCTCATGTAAGAAGCTGCAAGTCTGTTCGGGGTAGAAGACTGACCGCAAAAGTGCGGGCAAATGTACACCTGTTGTAGCACCATGCTCGTATTTGTCAAGAACCCTTTGTAGAGCGTTGATCGCTTGCCTCTTATTGCCTGCTCTCTGAGCTTCCATCACACAAGCATAAAGAAGTGTCGCGTCCTTAGCAGAACTCCGACAGATGTGATCCAAGCATTCAGTAGCTGCATCATCAGTAAAAAGAAGTAATCACTAGTAATAATGTGCTTACCAAAATCTGCATCTCCGCTTTGCAATGCTACTTTGTACATCAGATACCGTGTCACTGGCTCATCTCTACCAGTTTCAGTCATCCGAGCATATGCACTTCTAGCCGTCTCATAGTCCCGGCAAGTGAAGGCACACTGGATGATCTTCCTACAAGATGTGAACATCTTAATTAGTAACACAAAATATCTGTAGTACCTTGAAACTTTGGCTTGATTCTGTACCCCGGCCTTGTCGAATATAGGATGAAGGCACATGTGGCACCATGCTTCAGCCATTTTGTGGTTTTCTTGACTTACTGCCAATTCTACACACTTCCATAGCAACTGCATGTTCATATCAATGATACGTTCAAGTAGCGGAGACACGTAGAGCCTACCGTTTGTGCAGCATGTGCAGCAGGCGCAGAGATTGGAGTTGGCAAATTTTGTGAGACGATGTCGAAACGATCCTGCAGTTTTTCAAGTGCGTTCTCAGAAGAGTTTCTAGAGGTACCAATCCAGATCTGTGTGATGATGGCTTTCTCGATCCATTGTTGATTCTCTTCTCTAAAGAGGCGTATATCTATTAAATCATTAAGCGCCTTGATGGCTGTAGCATTGCTTCACGGAGTCAGTAATTGGACACACACGTCAGATGAAGTGCGCACTTTTTTTCATTCAGTTTGTGTATGTGATGCATGATCCTACTCAAAATCAGCTGGATCCATGGGTATGCAGAGTAGTCAAGCATCGCTCAGGTCACGCACGTCTTGAAATTTGTTTCATTGAGAACAATAGTACGAATCATACGTAGAAGAACTGTCATTGTTAGCGCTCAGATTCTGGAAAATCCCAGGGCCTCACCATTGTAGAACTCGGTAGTATCGAACTTTTCAGTTTCGGAAAGTAGCTCAAGTCTTAGCAGCAAGACTCCCATCTTGTCTCCAAAGTCCTAGGGCTCTGTTAGCGCTCTCTAAACAGGCGGTACGTAGCTCTTACTGTCTCCATCAGCTTCATCATCTGCCATGCCTTGTTTTGTGTCTCGGGCGTCTTTATCTTCATGTATGCCTGGACTAGTGCATGTATCAGCTGGAATTTCACAAAAGCCGTTCTAGAATGTACCAGTAGCTTGCATGATGCTAAGTCTCAGCTGTCCTACTTCCGGACTGAGCATATCCAGGTCTTGTCCGTCAAAGACATCATGTGCGCGTTCCAGCCACCGAGACGCCAAACTGTAATCGCGCTTCGCTAAAGCACCTTTTCCGATTTCGTAAAGTAGGTCTGCGAGAATTTCGGCTGTTGTGGGTGCGAGTGTCGTCACGAGCTGCTTGCATTTGATGAACAAATGCTCTGCGGTGTCCATGCGATCCTGACGCCATGCCTGTAATATGGTAAGCTACATCTAGCAACTACAGAGGAGTTCACTCTAAGCACAGCTAATGAAACTCACCAAGGTCGTTCGAACTGCAAAGTACTGAGCTCTCAGGTCATCTGCAAGCTCTTTCTCCTCTCTACGCTTGTCTTCGCCTTCTTGACTCAGGACATCTTGATAGTCCGCAGCACGTTCAAGCACTTTGGTCGCTGTGGCCAGGTCGTCACCTTGGATACATACCCTAGCTGCTTTTAGCGCGACCTTCATAAGACGGATGCAGTTCTTGCGCTGGCGGCGTTTTGTATCGTGACCACCGGCGGAGTCTAGAAGCAAGAACGAGAAGGCGCGTAGGAGAGACAGAGTACGTTTTTGGGTAGCAGTAACATCACTGGACTGAATTGTGACATCTGTTTCGTCGCGCCGTAGTCTTATAGCCAGGTTCCATAACTCGGTTCCGAGCCGGTCAAGCTCCTCTTGCTTCGCGAAGACTGTAGAGGAGGCTTGGAGAGGAAGAGTGCGAATATGAGTCTGCAGATCATCTACAAGTGTCGTATCATTACTGCCTTCGACCCTTTGTATGAGTGTTGTGGCGAAAGCTATGCACTGGTGAGTACTGTATTGGATCAGTTCTCGTAATCATACTCACTGAGGACTGCTTTGAGCTTCTTTTCGCGCTCTGCTTTTGCCACGGATTGGAACGACGGCATGACTGCACACGGTCAGGAGCAAATGTGGCGTGATGAAAGAGGATGATGGGAAAAGTGGTAAGGTTGGCAGGATGTGACTCCCGCTTGGAAGCTAGCTGCGCAATCATGAGGAAGGTACGGCTCACATCCACAGCACAAGCTTTGTTTTGGATAGCAGAAAGAACTAGAGTACAAGGAACCTAAAAACAGCAACTAAAGCCAGGTATGGATATCTTTCGCGTCTGCAATCACACCATCACATATGCACGCAACCCTCCAGTAAATTAACCCATAAAACGTATGCTATGCATCACATCATATGCACGCAACCTCCATAAATCAGCAGCTCCATCGTACAGTTTTTGAATACAGAAATCACATCAAAGTACTATGACGCAGGTAGCGGGCCAGAAGTAGCCTCGGTTATGGGAAGAAAGTTGCCGACAATCAGTGCGGGTCTAATGGTTGTCAGTATAAAAGATTACAGAAAGGGTACATGTACTAACATATTCCACGCGTCTCGCTTGACAGTGAAAGAGAAACAGCAACGTATTTCGGGATCCTTGGAGTTCGGATCGGGGTTTTTCAACGAGCAACTCGTCAGAATAGCTTTCTGAGTGTGATCGAATGCGATTGCACCAAACTTTTCCCAATATGATACCAAAGACGGCTCAGCAATGATCTCATGTAGAGCAATGTTACCCTTTGATGTGTCAGTACCTATCAGCTTAGTGGAGATGAATAAGGAACCTACGTCTCGGAGTTTTGACATTGGTACGTGAATGAGGCGCGCCATTTCCTTGTTGCCTCGGTAAATCTCGCCTGTTCTTCGCCAACAACACGCTGGAATAGCCATGCTCGCAAATACGCGATCGTACTCCATCAAGCTCTTGTCGAACCACATTTCAATACGCACCAAGTCTACGTCGGTCAGACTCTGCATTCGTTCCCGAAATTTTGGGCGGAAGCGATCCAGCTGGCGCAGTACTCTGACGCGGGATATTTGCTGCAGATTCTGTTCCATGTACTGGTTGAGTCTTGCATAACCCTTGACATAGTTGAAGGGCTTCAATAGTCCTGCATCTACTTTTGCCTTTAGTAGTTTGTTCATGCGCTCTTCCGGGCTATCCGAGCCGGCCGGATCAGCAGCTGTTATAAGGTATCTTTCTCTTGCTTTGTCAATGGGCACCCCGCCTGTGGATCGTTGTGCTGTATTAGTAGCTGCATTCTGCGCAGGTGGTGGAAGCAACTGTTGCTGTCTTGATCCATTAGGATTAAAAGCAGAGTTACTGTTTAGAGAGCCCATTGGGTTCATGAGGGAAGCGTCAGAAAAAAGAGAATGGAAGTCATTGCCTCCGTAGAAAGCACCGTCGTCCATGAGGCTGTTGTTGAGAAAGTCGTTGAGCAGGTTATACTCATTGCTCACTTCTGAGGTATTGAACATATATGAAGGATGAAAGTGCATATCCTGAAAGTTGTTCTGTGACGATGAGAGCAAGCCATCATAGCTCCCAACTTTAAGGCTGTCAGTGACAATGACAGCTTGGGGCTGAGAGAAGTGTGACTTACAGGGTTGATTACTAGCCGTCAAAGCAGGCGGCTGTGGCGCGGATACGGGGTCGGGTTGAGTACCTGATGCTGTGCTTGCATCTCCATTGGGGGGCAGTTGATGCGGTGCCAGGTTGAGTCCGGCATCTGAAGCAGTGGGCTGCTGGAGAGTGGCGGCTGGTGCTGCTTCGGACGTGGCGGGTTCGATCTGAGGAGGCTGACTCTGTCCTTCACCATTGTCTGGCTCGGATTTGGCCTTCTTGACACCTTCTCGAGGCTCATCACGACACAGATGGCCAATGTTCCGCTTGACACAGCGTGTGCATGGTCGTTCCTATGTTCGCATAAGTCCAACCGCGCCCACAAACTGCGAAGAAGAAGCGGATGGTGATGAGGATACTCACGAGATCACAGGTCATGTGCTGATTGGCATGTGGTCAGCAAGCAGTAATAACTGTCGTACACGCATCAAAGTGCCATGTGTCAAATGCTGGTGTACTGGCTATGGCTTACCGAACGTCTGCAGTAGATGCATGCTACATTGGAGCGTCAAAAGTCAGCAGGGCTGTGGAGACGGGTGGAGATGCACAGCATTGAAGGCCTACCATGATTGACCTTTCTTCGCTTTTTCGAGGCCTTTGCAGGCGCCTCGGAGCCGGTCGCATTGGCCTTTGTCTTTGAGGGAGAGGCGCTCTTTGGCGCATTTGGTTCGGAAGCAACATTGGTCTTGTCAGCCTCACCGTGTTCCGTCATGGCGACTGGAGAAGATCCATTGGATCGTCGTGCAGCTTCCGTCATCCAGTGCGGTAAGTGGGTGGGTCGAAGCCGGATGCTTTTCTTGGAGATGCGCGGGCTTGATTGGTGTCACTACAGGGATCTCGTCACGCACTGCAGCATCGCAAGGAGCAGCGAAGGTCGACAAGCGCCAGAAGCCACAACCTCTGTTGCACGGATGAGTTTGTCGTGGCGGAAAACGCGTGGCGGAGGTGTACAGTTTTGAAGACACGAGGGCTGAGTGAATGTCTGGTCGCGTGCTTTGCCGAAGCGAGGGAATATTCCGGAATAACACCACTACTACGCAACCGGCGGGGGAGCTGCGCCGCCCTCCCTGTTAGCCGACCGTTTGACAGCTGCTTGGCCCACCCATGGCTTTTCTCTAAGAGGGAGAATATCCAGCCCATGCGTTGCTCGCTACAGCGCTTCATATGTTGTGTTTGGCACGAGTTTGGCACGAGGCACGGTAGCTGCAGGTGTGGTTCTGCGACGATATGAGAGCCAGCGGGAGCCAATCGCCTTTGGCACTTTGTTGCTGCACTACATGAGAGTATTGAAGCTACCAGAGTCCCCCATGCACGTTTTCCGATGACCACTCTGTCGGATCCCCCTCAGCTCCAAAACTGGGAGACATGGGTCGGTGGATGCCGAAAGTCTTGCAGTTTCGTTGAGCCTCACGCCCAACCTGCTACAGCAGCCTCTTGCGGGCCGTCTTCGTATACTACATAGTGCTCGAAATATAGTAGTAGTAGCAACCCCAAACCCGCCCTGAAGGATTGGATAAACGCCAACCCCTATCAACGCCACTCGGTTCCCCAAGGCTGCCTGATGCGCCTAGTATGTTTGCATTACCTTAACGAGGAAAGAAACCCCTTGTCCCGGATCCGCATCTCAATATTTCACAAGTTGGCATACTGTGCAGCATTGGCATGCCGAAACAGGATATCATCTAGCGCAGCTTGTGCATTCCCTATTGCCGTATCGAGGCCCTCTACCTGGTTATGATTGCTCTGCATGTTCTTTAGGCTGCGCTTCAACTGTTCAAGCACAGAGCCGAGGTCGGAGTCGCGCGAGTCGAGGGACGAGAGATCCACCGTGCTTTGTGGCTTCAGACCAATATCCTCGGGGCCGTCGCCATCAATGGCGACTTCATCGTCGGTTTGTAGCAAGGGGTGGAGCTACTGCAAGTCAGCTATCTTTTCGTCCAAGCAGTAGGAGACTGCCACGTACACGTCCATGCTTCCGCTGGTGTTTCCACTCAGTCCTCCACGTCTTTGCGTTCTTCTTCATCAACTCCAGATACTCCTCGTCTTTGCTAAGCAAGTGTTCGGCGATCTTGATCTGCTCACTGAGCAGCTGCTTCGAGTGTCGCGCGGTTGTGACCTCTCGCGAGACTTGAGCATTGCGCTCCGTCAGCTTATCGATGTTGAAGTGTATATCTTTGGCTTGGGGAGGAATCCGTGACTCGGCTAGCTGGCGTACTAGTTTTCGTACAAGCGGGTTGAGAGTATTGTATGCAGCCATGACCTTCCGCTCGTCTCGCTGTGTCTCAGCAGTGTCTTTCTTCGCATTGCGCACCACGGCGAGGATCTGCTCCAAGACCTGAGGTGATATTTCTGGCCATTTATCGACTTGGTCGCGTGTGATTCTTCTTGATTTTGCCTCGAGCCGTAGATATTCCTTGCGCGACTGGGCTTCTGGCTCGGCAGCGGCAGCGGCGGCGTCGTCAGCTTTGCGCTTACGAGGTTTTGACCGGTTTGATGGAGGCGCTTCGATTAGTGACAGCTCATCTTCGGCTTCTTGTGGGGGCGGTTTGGCTGAAGGTTTCCTCTTCTTTACTGTGCCGGACTTTGGCGCTGGCTTCGAGCCGACGGCGGAATTGCGACTTCCTGGTGGTCTGCCCCTCCGTTTCTTTTTGACTTCCTTATTGCTAGAGCGCGTAGGCGCCTATGCCGGGTCAGTATGTGCACACGTCAGAGGACTTGTCCGCGTTTTACCATGATGACGTTATGTAGGAATGGAGACGCGTCGACGTAGTGTTGACAAGCGCGTTTGGTGGGGAAGAGGCCGAGTAGCGTGGGCGCCTCTTCACGTGCGTCCAAGTTGCCTTCCCTCCCCCATATCATCACAATCACATGCAAAAAATGCCACTAGGCAAACACTGGAAGGAATTCTGTATGTTCTAATCATTTTGATTACATGGATAGGCCAAGTTTGTCGCTCTTGTCATCCACACTCATCGCCTCTCCAATGTCTACGACACAGGCGCGCTCAACACCTCTGTCAGATTGACTAGTCACCGAAAACGGGACGCCAGTTCCCTGGATGAAATCAGTATATTTTTCTCCGCCGTAAACTACCAAGTGCTCCGGCCTATTCTTCAAGATCTGAATAGCACGCGAATACGTCACTCCAGCAGGCGTAGCATGCTTCTCCCATCTGTCCGCAGCACCGCCGTGTGTATTGGTGAACACCTGGCGGTTCGACGCATCAGAGACCACAATGGTGTCATTGGGGCCTCCATGAGAGCTCCAGACCACATACGGGCTAGCCGCAGGCGCACGACCATCAATGACAATAGGCTGGCCAACGTTCTTGCCAAATTCAACAGGAGAGTCGGCCAGAACGTAGTAGACGGGGTAATTGCTGCCATAGACCACCCTTCCAAAGCCCTGTTCATGTACAAGGATTCACTTCTTGATGGGTGGGACATAGGCCACGACCGTCATACCACTACCGTCAATGACTTCATCGTAAGCTACGTCGTTAACGACAGGGCCCCACGTCTTCAGATCGGAAGATGCTTGGTGAGAAAGCTTTTGGTTGTGATTGAGGTCACGTTCATCCGAGTACTAGGCTATCAACTGGCCATTGTATTGCCTCGAGGCGTTGTCAGCCTTCAACTTGCTAAGATGTGAGATGAGCAAAACTCACAGAAGATATGGCTCCCAGATCGCCTTGTTGGAGCCGGCCGCCTGTCCCTGGGCAATATGGCTCACAAACTCCCAAGTCCTTCCCGTGTCTTTGCTAGCGTAAAGGTCAATTCTGGTGAAGTTTGTACCCCAAACGTTGCCGCTAGTCAAAATAGTGCCAGCCGCATAACCCCCCATGGCCTCCGTCAATACCGTCAGGGCAGGATGGTTATTTATGCCCAAACCATCGATGCTGTTCAAATTGGAAATGTGCTTCCACGTAGCACCGCCATCCTTTGACTCAAAGATGGGCTGGTAACCAGGTGCGGGACCCCTTAGCCATGTAGTCGCAATGAGAGTCCCATCCTCCACTTCGGTGTAGCGGGGGTACGTCACGGACTCATTGCCAGTTGGCTTATAGATGGTGTTGTTGACGAAGAAGCCCCATGGCTTAGGGTCGCTGGTGGTGAAAGTCGAAGGATCGAAAGCAATGACAATGCTCGTGAAAAGAGCGGTCATAGCCAGAATATCTGTGAAAAGCTTCCTGTCTATGATAACATCCTTTGCTTTGGAATTTCAGGTAGGAACTGAGAGAGAGAGAGAGAGAGAGGAACCAAGATGCGTTCCGTAGGCCATGATCACCGTTTTATACGATTTATGTTCTTGCATCATTTTGCCGCGCAAAGAATGTGTAATCTCCCAATACATACATTCAACGGGATCTCACTGAGGTCTTACTGGGGTTTTGACCAGATAAATGGTCTAATTACCTAGCTGCTGGGGGATAACGTTCGTATAGTGTCGTGATGATCTAGGACTTACTCAACGGGACTTCCGCGATTTCCCATCGGCCTGAGTCCATGACAGTGATGCGGTTGGGTACTCTGCATCTTTCTGTCTGAAGTATCAGAGTTGCCTTAGAAACATGTATCGATTCAAGCCTTGTCGTTGTTCTTGTACCTACCTGTAGATGTTTCGCACGAATATAGTTAGCCTACGTTGACTCTTAGAACATCCTTGGCCAGTTGGCATAGATCCACAATGGATCCTTCTAATGCTTACTTCTGTGAAATATAAGCAAGTGTGAGTGAGTTGGTGATATACCCGGCAAATGGTCCCAGAAGCGCAACAAACAATATCGCACATGCAGCGTGACTACGCATGGGACCTATTAACCGGCGGATGAAACTTGCGGGGTGTACCAACTACATATAGTCATCAAGCTCTAAAAAAGAATAGGGTAAATATGAACTGCCCGCTTATGCTGGTGAAGGGGAAAGTCGACCTCTTGTCTGGATTTGCCGGGCTCAGAATGTTGCTATCTCGTATCTCATAACGGGAAGATCAGTAAACATCACCGATAGGGTTTGCTTAACTGTTGGTGCGCCGATAAAGTTGGATCAGACTGCCCCTAATCACCTTTCGGTGTAAGAATGCAGCTGCTCCACCGTATCCTACATCGCGCACTGTCAAGCCATGACAGGTAACAAATGCATTCCACTGTAAAGAGTGAGGACTCCGAGTCTGCCATGCAATAATCACTGGCTTTTACAGTGACTATAGCTATCCTCTTGCTATAGTTTTGGCTGATGTCATATAGGCAGCTTTTAACCGGCTCATTCAGCACACCGGGAGTCGCGTACTGAAAACTGAGGAAAATACAACCAGATTGGCTGTGAAACAGACATGAATAAGCTGGATTTAGAGTCGTGTCTTGTAGCAATCGGGTTTTGAATGTTGCCTTCGTAATCCTAGCAGACTTTGCTGATGGCTCAGCGGGTCTCTGTCCATCGCTCATACCTTGAACGTTGAACATGAGCATGACGAAACACCAAGACTCGAATTTGCCGGTATGGAACACTTCTTCTGTATTGGGTCGCTGGCATTGGCGGGGAAATTTAAGGGGGACAGCTGGCAAAGGGTGATGCCTGTTGTTTCGTTCGGTGATCAGCCACCGGCCTTTCTGTTTCTGTTCTCGCCGTTTTGCGCATGCTCGAAAACAGAAACATCTGCCAAAGGGTACAGAGGTGCGACGTAAATGGGCCGACAACACGGGCAATATTTTCGCTTTGAAGCGGGGAAGCATTTAGAAATACGGAGTCACGTGATTTTCTGTAGCTAGTATGTGGCTGGAGACCATGTTTCAGCCACATATAGTGATCTACACCGCCCGTGTTCATGTCAAAAACTTGGAAGTCCAACCCGAAAGCGGCAGTTGAGCAGGAATGCGGGGGGCGCGTAAATGGCTTGCAGGGCTTCTCCACTATATTCTTCCGTGAGAAGCACATTACCTGCATAAACGTGGACACTAACATAAAAACAAGACTCCTGGAGGCACTCCGAAGAACTGCCGTACGTCCAAGGCTCTTGGCATCATTTACTCGAAGTGCTATGTGATCCTCTGACTCGAAACCCTCTATCCTCTGAGCTTTCCAATTGGTTTCGGAGCTCGTATCTTGACTAACGTCTCTCTTTATTTCAGTGTCAAAAAGTCTTGGTATGGAGACTGAGCATAAATTCCGATAGTAGCAACCCTCCTGTTCCATAGTGATCTACTCTCTAGAAACAGTGGCGTGAATGTTTCAGTCTGGAGAAATGTGGGGATTTCAAAAGATACTTAAAGCTGTTGATGCTCAACGTTTGTAGAAACACCAGCAAGAAACTCGGAAACAAACAACAAGCACTTCACGATGCTTCGCCCAGCTTCTCTCTTCGCACTTGGTGCCCTTCTCTTTCTTTCACTTCTCGACTCTGTGTCCGCTGCAACAGCAGGCTGTGGCAAAACCCCCAGACTGAACAGTGGTGTTCATACCATCACAGTCAACAACAAGCAGCGCCGCTACACTCTCCGCGTGCCTCAAAACTATGACAACAAGCGCCAATACCGCTTCATCTTTGGCCTGCACTGGCTCAACGGTGACATGAACGCGGTCGCTAGTGGAGCTGCTCCCTACTACGGCCTCGCTGCTCTTGCCGGTGAGAGCACCATCTTTGTGGCCCCCGATGGTCTCAACAGGGGATGGGGCAACCAGAATGGAGAGGATATTGCCTTCCTTGACGCAGTCAGGAAGCAGATTGACGACGAATTCTGTGTCAACGAGAAGCTCCGCTTCTCCCTCGGTTTCTCCTACGGCGGCGCCATGTCCTTCAGTCTGGCTTGCAGCAAGGCGGCTGACTTCCGAGGCATTGCTGTCTTGTCTGGTGCCACTCTCTCTGGATGTGCCGGTGGCAACACCCCCATTGCGTTCTACGGTCAACACGGTGTCAAGGACAGTGTTCTGCCCATATCTTCCGGGAAACAGATCCGTGACCGCTTTGTGCAGCTGAACGGATGCCAGTCCAAGAACGCACCCGACCCATCTCCCAACAGCCGACAGCGCGTCAAGACCGTATACGATGGATGCAGGTACCCAACCCAATGGACCTCCTTTGATGGAGACCATGTCGCACTTCCCGGAGATGCAGGAAACGATGTTGGTGCTCAGAGCTTCACACCCAAAGAAGTCTGGGCCTTCTTCAGCCAGTTCACCTAAGGCAACAGTTCTTCAATTGAACAGGGGCAACAAGACATGCTCAACTGTTGCACAACATAACTTGTCAACTTGGACTGAATCGACACACGCGAGGGAAGACACTACATGGAAAATCTGTATATATAAAGTAGATGCTCGCTTTCAAAATTCAATGTACATATGAACATCAGTAATCGCTTTCTGACTGCTCTTCTCCAGATTGCTCTACTTCTGCATCACTTACTACGTCACTTAGTTCAGCACTCTCAGCGTCACTCACACCACTGCTTTGAGCATCACTCTCGTATTCCTCAGTCACCCTCTTTCTTCTCTTAGAATTCTTCGCGCTTCCTCCCTTCGTTGAACTTGTACCGGCATCTTTGCGGCCGCCTGTCCTCTGGACTAGATGTTCGATTGGACAGCCCTTGTCCCACCCTTCGCTGCTCTCACCCGTGATTGCTCGACATCTCGGGCACGACTTTCCATGCTTTATAAGTAGATAGTGTAATTGGTACTTCAGATGGTCTGGTATTCTGACTTCACAATGAGCGTATGTCGAGTTGCGTGTTGGACCAGCAAAAGTGCCTTTTGCGCCAGGAGCAAGGCCCCTGGAATCGCCTGGTGGGGGTACCCAACCTAGCCACTTGCAGAGTCGGAAGACGTGCGTATCAACAGCGAATGAAGGTCGTTGAAGGCAGAAGAGAAGAACACAAGATGCTGTCTTTGGCCCAATACCAGGGTATTTGGTGAGGGCGTTGAATGCATCCTCGCTTGAGAGTAGATGCAGATGATCCAGAGAGACGACATCCTGGTTTGCCTTTTCGATCTCTGTGTTCTTCTCCTCTTCCGCCTCATTGGCGGAACCAGGCGCTTTATGAGAGGAAGATTGAAGCTCTTTCCGTCGCGCTTGATTTTCCTCCCAGACCATTTGTAGAATCTTCTTAATGTCCTTGCTTTTGACGTCTGCTAGTCCACCACTCTTGATTGCTTCAAATATCTCTTTCTGGTCGGCTTGGCGCACTTTGTTCCAGTCGACACTGCCTTTGCCAACGCCTTCTTTTAAAATCCCAAATTTGGCAACAAGGCCCGCAAAAGCGCGAGATGAGTTTGTTCCAGACGTTGCAGCAGAAAGACGTGTTCGGATAAGAGCGTCGAGGACTGAGGGTACTTCTCCACATCCTGAGACATCGAGCGACGGAGCGGGAACAGTCTTTGGAGCTTCTATCTTGCCGTGCACTTTCGACAAGAGACGTGTGACTTCTTCACATTCTTCTGCAGTTGGGTGTGGGTAGTTCGGGTATGGCGTTTGGCCAGGCGTTAGGCCATAGCCACCAATCTTGCCCTTGCTCTTCTTATTTGGAGTTGTGGTAGTTGCTTTGTCAACAATATCGCCAGCGTCCTCTTTCTTCATACTCGCTTTCTTAGTTGCTTTTTTTGTCTTCTTTGCCGAGTCTGTTTTGACGTCATCGCCATCTTCTTGCTTGACAGGAAGCTCTGGAATAGCACCAAAGCTATGCGTAAGTTCGTTGATATCCTCTTGTTTTACCGCAGACTTCTTGGTACGTTTGGCGCTCTTGGGTGCAACAGGCGCATCCTTGGTTTCGGTTTCTGGTGAGACTTCCGCCTTGATAGCTTTCCTCTTTCGAGGGTCGGGTGCTTCTGGTGTCGTGGGTGGACTGGAAAGCTGTACTGAATCTTTACCAGTGGTTGGTAGTACCTGCGCCGCTCTGCCTTTTGCGGCGGAGCTCCTTGTAGCTCGTACCATATGAGATGAGCTTATTGATTGTGAGAAATGGATTACGCCCCTGAAGCTACCTGGCCGTGATGGCAGAAGCAGCCTTACTGGTATTTTGAACGAAATGATGGACACAACAGTGGTAGGAGCCAGAAGAGGGAAAAAGAAGGCAGCACACCTACTCAACAAAAAAGTAGCAGTACTTAGCTCGGGTAATCCTGGGAAGTACGCACTAAGTACTGTCACTTCTTTTGTCGAGGGGGCCAGCGGATTATAGAGTGAATCGCCACAGAATAGTACTGGATAGGTCATGACGTCGATGATGATGATTGGAGCTCGGACCCATGTTCCTGCTTTAGCGTGCAGGAAGACACGCCGAGACCCGCCCACATGGTCCCGAGTCTGACTGCTTCCAGCTACCCCACGTTCCGTCTGCTATCGAGACGTTACTCTACACCCCACATAGTTGACTTCATCATGGCTCACAAAGCACCTCTAATCGTCCCTGCGCTCAAGCGACATACCGCTACCGTCATCGTAGCTCATGGACTCGGAGACAGCGGGGCTGGCTGGTAAGAAGCGCTTAGTAACGTAACAGGACTCCATAGACCCTGACAAGAGTAGGATATTCCTCGCGGAGAACTGGCGCAGACGGAGCAAGTTTGAGGAAGTCTCGTTCATCTTTCCAAATGCTCCAAATATTCCAATATCCCTGGTTCGTGACCAACCATCGATCCTCCGCAGTTGCTGTGGCGCAAACACAGCATGAATGCTGATACACAACTTAGAACATGGGCATGAGTATGCCAGGATGGTACGACATCAAGGAGCTGGGTAATCTGGATGGCCGCAGCGAGGATGAGCAAGGAATTATTCAATCTCAGAAGTACTTCCATTCGCTCATCGACCAGGAGGTCTCGAAAGGCATACCTGCAAACCGCATAGTGATTGGAGGCTTCTCGCAGGGCGGTGCAATGTCTATACTATCAGGAGTAACATACAAGGAGCAGCTGGGGGGCATTTTTGGTTTGAGCTGCTACTTGCTCTTGCAAAATAAGATCAAGGACATGATCCCAACCAGCAACCCGAACCAAAACACACCCATCTTTATGGGTCACGGCGATGCAGACCAAGTGGTTGCACACAAATGGGGAAAGAAGAGTGCTGAAGAGCTTGAAAAGCACGGATACAAAGTTGACTTCAGGACCTACAAGTATGTCCTCAACGGCTAGCAGAAGATTGTCTCTAACAAGAATCAGGGGTCTCGTTCACAGCGCCGATCCTGATGAGATTGACCATCTCGAGTCATACCTCAACCAACAGATACCTCCGCTAGACAAAAAGTCAGAGTCAAGCACTTGACTCGCCCCCAAAACCGGCTCGACAGAAGTGACTACGGCACTGGTCATAGTCATTACATTGGTCATTGCTTGGTTTGCGTGGTACAAGAAGCGCGATATAGCATCAAATCATCCGCGCAATGACACGGAATGACAGGTGCCAATAGTTTGGATACTTTCCTCTAGGTCGTATGTAAATGCGGATGACTTTATACGTTAGGGTGTCGGAGATAGATTTTGGTCGCCTGGCAACTGAGTTCATTCATTGCTACGTTCGCCTTGTTGAAATCGATCATGCAGTTGTCGCTCGGGTTTCAGCAATCGCACGAAAGTATGTCGTAAACACCATCAAACAAAACCCTTGTTGGGTGCTTCATCCAAGTGGGACTTGACTGAAGAGATTTTTCATTACTTATTTTCGGCCTATAGCTCCACCGCTTTGCACTTCTTCCTTGAAGCAATGCGCCTCAAGTCTCAACACTCAGTTCTTGTATTGACTAAATTTTGAGACTTCCATCAAAATCCGATATGGTCTAGTGGCTAGGATTTGCCGCTCTCATCCAGAGTCAGTTCGCCTCACAGCGCCGGCAAGGCCCGGGTTAGTAACATCCTCATCATCCACTCCAAAATCCCGTCTAATATCTTCATAGGTTCGATTCCCGGTGTCGGAAAATTTCTTTTTTGGACCTTTCCATTTCATCTAAGATAAAATGGCGGGGGAGATAGCTCATGTGAAGGGTGGTTGCCATCTCAAGTTGTTGTCTCTAGGCAAAGACTATAGAGTCTCGGTGTCGAATACATCTATTTTTTGGCTTAGTTGTCGGTTCGCAATCTCTTGGTCGCTTCTCCTTCTCCTTCTCCTCTCTATTCTCTCTCTCGAGAAAATATCGGGTTTCTCTGGCCACGCTAACGCCATGTGGAGCCTCAACCCTCTTGCCAATAACCTATCTTCGAACAATCAAGATATTCGTGTTTCGGGCCTGATGTTTTGGGTATACTGTGCTGTATATGCAAGCTAGTCTCCTGTCCTGGGTATAGTAGTCTGTGGTGGCATATCCAGTATTGTTTGCTCGAAATCACTTTGACTCCCTGGGAAAAATCATAATTCAATTGTCAAATTTCCCAGAAAAACTTTCGATGCCGAGATATTAACATGAATCTGCCACAGGATAGGAACTAGCGGATAACCACTGTATCAACTCCTGATAGTTGCTTACTCATACACATCAGGGGCATGTATTGAACAACGCATCTATACATGCAAGTACTTATGGATAGCAGTGTAGGTCCGATAAAGCACTCTCTGTATGTACACGATGCTCACCGCTTCGTGTTGTAAAATCAGGAGTTCATCGTTTCGCGTTTACGCTAAGCAGATCGGCAGCTTTTTTGCACTGTTAAATTCGTATTCCGGTTCAATCACGTAGTAGTAGCCTGGTGGCCTGAACCAGCCCCAAAATGTTCTTTTTTCCAGACCGAGTCATGCACCCATAAGCCAATACCCAAGGGAAAGGTTGGTTTAAATATCGGCCACAAATTCGTGGTTAGTTCAATGTTTTAAACAGCATAGCAAGGGCGACGTAGCAGGTCCTGTATTTTGTATGAAAATCCATCGCATGATGTTGTAACAGATCTATTCTTGTCTTTCTCGGACTGACGGCGCCTCAGGTACAGCCGAGCAGGGGGCGGCAGAAGAATCATGATCTAGAAGCTCTAGCTCCGATCTACAGTAATGTACCCGCAGGTAAGCACTCTCTCTTTTCCTCGAAGATGGCCCGCCGCCTCCCATGCGTCATTCTGTCAGTACCGTCCCGTCCGTCGCGGACTCGTCTAAGTAGCTCCGCCTGTCAAGCTTCCGCTCCAAAACTTTGCTCGCCGATAAGAAGAGGATCAGGGGTAGAGTCTTAATCCAGCCAGCCAATCTGCGCTAAGCGAGTGCTTAATTTTGTAGGTACGTATGGCGGCCCCGATGGATCCCTCTCCGTTGTTCACCTCCACTCGTTTTTGCACAAACTCAATCTAGTTCTATACGACGACAGCAGAACACGCCCCTCGATTACCCAAAAGTCCAGCAGGCGCCATAAGCAGCTCTCGTCCCGTCATCCGCAGTATGTAAGTAGTACAATCCCCTTCGTCATCCCACATAGCGCGTAAGCTCAAAGTGGAAAGCATGGTCGTTTCACACACTTTGCCGGCCTTCCGAATTGGCCTGATTGCACCGGTGCCCCATGCGAAATTTCCGAACAAAAAAAAAGAGAGCCAAATCCTCACAGCCCTAACGTCTGTGCGTTCAGGCACGAGCATCGTGTGTGGGATTGACTGTGTGCGCGACAGCCAGTTAGCAGTAAACAGACCCTTCTAGCGCCGAGCCAATGCATACCCTCGATAGCAGCCTTTGTGGAGACACACGAGGCGCCACAGGGCTACCACTGCCATTGGATGCAGTTCGTTACTCTTTAGGGATCGGGAAATATGAGAGGGGTCTATCATTAAAAAGCTCAGCTTCCCGCCTCCTAATGATTCTTCTTCTCTCTATCGGGTCATTAGTACAAATTCCTCGACTTGCACTCGCTTACTCTCGCTCTCTCTCGATTTCTCTCGTCATACGACCGATTACTTGCTCTTTTAACAAAAGTTTAAATCAAAGAACTTTAATCCTGATCATAATGCGTTTCACCACCTTTGCTCTTCTCTCCCTGGTTTCCGGTGTCTTTGCCGGAAACTGCGGTCCTCAGAACGGAAACGCAAAGTGCGCTTCCGGCGAGTGCTGTAAGTTTTAGAATGATTATTCAAAGTCATCAAAACATGTACTAACGAATTACTCAGGCTCGCAATACGGCTGGTGCGGAACCACTGTCGACCACTGCGACGCGAAGACTTGCCTGAAGGACTTCTCCGGTGCCTCTTCCAAGTGCAGCGGCAGCTCTCCCGCACAGACTTTCCCCGATGGTGTCCCCGAGATTGACGTTTGTGGTCATGCCCAAGGTGGCGTGAGCTGCCCCGGTGCGGGAGCCAACGGCTACTTCTACCGCTGCTGCTCTTCGGCCGGCCACTGCGGACCCAAGAACGACCTCCAGGACCAGAACCTCTACTGCGGTACCGGATGCCAGGCCGGCTTCGGCAAGTGCGACAACCAAAAGGCGCCTGCTGAGCCCGCTGGCGAAAAGGGCGTTTCGCAAGCTGGAGAGACTTGCGGTCCTATTGTCAACAAGAAGTGTGCCTCTGGTCTTTGCTGCTCTGGATCAAACTTCTGCGGTACTGGAGAGGACTTCTGTGGCGCTGCTAACTGGTGCCAGAGCAAGTGGGGAAGGTGCAACTAAGTGTGTTGTTTGAGTAGAGAAATCCGAGAAGCTGCAACGTTGGAATTATTCGAAGCCTAGATGAATAGACGAAAGCGTGGGGACGCGAGAAAATAAATACTATGACTTGCATGATATAGAGCCAAAGCCGGAAACTGTCTGGTGTGAATGTCTTGTTGCCATGTGTATGAAAGCAGCGTCTCAGATCTTTCTATTTGACATGTATTCCCTACGAACCTTCCAGTATCATTGACATGGCTGCGACGTCGATGCTATGTCCGCTAGTAAAGGAAGCACCTACTTCCCATCTACACAAACTATTCATTGTCAGCAATCTAGCGTCTGACCCTTCAGCACGTCGAACTGGCACATCTCAAGGCCCTCCGCCTCAACATATTCTGCAGTACAGTGCCAGTTTACCGGCTATAAAGTCCAAAAGTCTAACTCATATCATAAATAACTGATGTTTAATCTCTCAGTAAGAAAGAAACAGACGCATGTAGTTACACATAGGTGGAGAAGGGACTGAACAAGACGTACAATTCACGACAGCGAATCGTGTTAATACGCAATGCTGCAAGTGACTAAAGACCTGTTTCCGTAGCTTTACGTCAACTGTTAAGCCTGTGCAAATGCTGAGTCAATGTTCATCTCAAGCAAATTCTCATGCATTTTTCCGCTATTGCGTCTTCCAGCCGTTGCACGAGACACGAAGGTCTAGCTTCCTTGACTCTTCTTTTGTTAAAGTAATAAAGAAGACGGCGTGGGATACACTGCTGCATCCAACCGGACGAGATAGCGTCGTGATGTCGGCGTGAGGCGGGGGCGTGGGCGCCAAAAAGGCCGTCAAAACGGCGCTGTGAAGCCTCTTTTAAGCAGGAAACTGTCTCATATGAGAGGAATCAGCTGATTACATGCTGTATATGGAAGACCGCATTAACACCCATAGTGATAGTGGCGGCGGTGCAGCACGCAAGCGCGCGGTTGGACAATCCCCAATATTCATGCCATCCTACGAGGCCCCTCGCAACCCTCCGTGCAAGAGAACAGCGCAAGACACCTTTATGCGTTCAAATAAGCTGAATGGAAAATCTCAAGCCCATGTGACGAACAAGAACCTAGAATTCAGTACAAGGATGAGGAGAAATACCCTTCCGGTCAATCCATCCTATGCGGCACAGCAACGCTTTCACCCCACACATATTTGCCAACCACCCAACCGTGAACAGTGAACAGTGAACGTGACCAAGTTTTCACCCTTCCTTCCCCCGCCTTACTTAAATACCTCTTCAAGTTACAAATACTTCCGTAGTCCTCCTACTCCACATCACCTTACCAACCCAATCCACACCATGGGAAACACGGTATCGAACTTCGTCCAAAACGCCATCAACGCAGTCAAGAATACGGTAGAGGAAATGTTCCATCGCATCGCACCACCCATTGTGCGTTACGTGGCCAAGCACCCGCTGCGTACACTCGGTCACATCGGTAGTGCTATGCTGATGCTCGTTCCCGGCGTCATTACAACGCCACTATTGGCTATTGTGGGCTTTTCGGGTAGCGGCGTTATCGCTGGTAAGGACTGACTGTCTTGGACGCGACGAAAAAAAAACGATATATCAAACAAAAGCTTATATGGATGATTGTTAGGATCGCTTGCTGCTGGGGTACAGTCTGCTATGGGTGCGGTATCTGCAGGAAGCACATTTGCGGTCTTGCAGTCTGCAGCGGTAAATATGGATCCCCCTTCTGGTGTGGCATATTGCTGATTGGAATAGATGGGAGGTTATGGTGCGGCTACAGTTGCAGCTGCCGCGGGAGGCACTGCTGTCGCTGCAGAGGCCTTGGGAGTGGCTGCACGCGCGAGACGTGACTGAAGAGCAAAACATGTATGGCCCCACATTGGGAAAGTACGTCGTCTTTGAGGTTTCCATGAGCAGGCTGTAATCATCTCGGATGAGTAAGGCAGGGCATGCATACAGGGAGTCCTTGAATTACGTGAATAGAACCTTAGACCTTTAGTCAATGCATGCCGATTCGCTACACATTACAATCACTTGGTGACACTATGATCAATCCCCACTCAGAAAATATCATGCTATTATACATCATAAAGCCCGTAAAAAGGCGGGTTGGGAGAACTCATGACTCATCATAACACCGATCGACTTAGTTGCCGACCTGAACGGCATAGCCTCCGTCTACAGTGATGGTCTGGCCGTTGAGGTACTGACAGCCAACGGCAAATAGGATAGCGGCGGCCATGTCCTGGTCCTTTCCAGGACGCTGAGCGGGAAGACCCTCCTTGTGTTCCTTGGGCATTTCACTCTTCTGATTGTCGTCTCGGCTCTCCTGGGTGGTCATCTCCGAAGGGAAAACACCAGGAGCGATTGAATTGATACGAACTTTGACTACAATATATAAGTGAGAAACAAGGTGCGTTCATTAAGATGTAAGACTTACTGCCGTTCTTTGCAATCTCAGAGGCAAGCATCTTGTTCAGATGGATGGTAGCACCCTTGCTGCTATTGTAGGCAAAGTGGCCTTGCGAAATACGGATATGGCCTGAGATGGAGCTGATGTTGATGATGGTTCCGGAGTATCCCTTGTGTGTCTCCGTAGACTTTTGCAGAAGAGGAAGGAAGGCTGTGCTCATAAGGAAGGGGCCAACGACATTGGTTTGGTAGACGTCGAGCCACTCTTTCTCGGTAGTGCCGTCAAATAACTTCTCGACCAGCTCTTCTGAGCTTCCCTTCACTTCAGTCTTTTCTGGTGCAATACCAGCATTGTTGACTACTCTTGTTAGCATTGGGTCTCATAATCAAACCACGGAATCTTACCCAGAATGCATAGACACTTCTCCTTAGACTCAATCTCTTTCTTGATCTTACTGTGTTCAAGGTCAGCACTGCAAAATTAGATAAGCCTAAGAAAACTTACGATACACCCTCTTTAGTGCTGACATCACCGACGATTGGAATGATCTGTCCCGCAATGTTTTGTCCATGTACCTCAACAACCTTCTCAAGCTTCTCTTCTGTCCTGCCGACAATGTATACCTTGGCACCGTTGACAGCCAATGTCTGAGTGATCATGAGTCCAATACCAGAGCCTCCTCCAGTGACCAAGGCGACCTTATCCTTGACATCAAAGACCTGGCCCATCTCCAGCTCGGGGTTATTGGACGGTGGCATGTTGGCGTATGTGTGTCGCTGCAGTTGTGGTTGAAGTTGATTTGTTATTTGTTTAGTCCGACTGAGTACCCGTATACAGTTCTGATTTAGAACGAGGGATGGAGTGAGACGTCGAGGGGCCGAGATTGTCATGTAGCGGGCGAGGCGGTTTGCCATGACGTCACGAACTCGGAGTGACATTGCAGAAAATCTAGATGCAAAAAACAACGGATGTGTGTGAGTGAAGTGAATGGAGTGAGCGAATCAAGTAACATCTATCAGCGAGGTGAGGGGGAATGCACGCAAAGAAATGGTCATGATGAAATCACTGGCATGGCAGATCCACCCGCATGCGGTATCACGTTCTGACCGCCTAAATCTGCAGAAGCTCGATGCTTTGCAATGTCGAATTTACAAAACAAAAAACCATCGTCCTCATAGCCTTCATGTGGCATAGATGAGTACCTCATTCATGATCCAGTTGCAGCGCGAGGAGATGTCCAGCTGTTGCATTGAAGTTCAATATCCTACGCCCACTCAACGCTTTGTGGTTAGAGCTTTTACTTCGGAGGTTCAGCACCAGAGTCGGTCTCAACATGAAAGCTGATGATTTTCATGCTATTCTTGAACAAACGATCTGGTCAAACTCGTACCTCCAGCTACCTGATCGAGGTGGCGCGATTCCCAGAACTGATGTGCAAGGAGACGATATTGATATCGAGATATGAAAAGCCGCTATGAAGAAGGTGAGGTGATGGTGGAAGAGAAGCAAAGAATTTCCCTTCAAACACCGAGTCGTCATCTTCTGCTCTATGATGGGCTTGGATCGACCAGCGAGATATTGTGCTCATTCCTTCCTCTCAACACGCTCAATGAAAGGTACAACAATCCGTCCATGGATAGGAGTAACCTTTTACTTTACTGCTGCGATCAGGGTCACCCGAATCCAGAGCAAACCCTTGCTTTGAGCAGAATATTGCTCATCTCATGGTGCTCACCCCACTCGTCACCATGCTTGACTAGACCAGGGAATGCGCAGAAGAGGAACGTGCGGTCTGTCTCCATAACAGTGTCATCATCCATGGTAGAGTCGGCATCGTTGATAGCTTCCATTGTACGGTCGTCGAGGTACATTTTCTTGCCTTCACTGCGAAAGAAAAGTAACTGATAACGCGCTTTCTGGAGAGCCAGTGTTCGTTGGAAGTCTACAGCATTCTTGAGAATCCCACTTAATGCCAGTTGTGCACTCGAGGTGACGGTAGTGGACGTAAGAGTAAAGAACAGATGACAAACATCTCCAAGGATGCGGTGTAGCAATTGCTCCCGTTCTCTTATAAGGTCAGGTTGAACTCTACTACTCTCAAGCACTTGTATCGTCGCGCGTTTCCATTCACTGAAGGCAGGGCCGCTGTCACGTACCTCGTCGGCAAAGGACTGGATTGCCGCGAGTGATATTGGCAACCCGAAGACTAAAGGTGTTTCAAAAATGGGCATGAGCGAGGTCGAGATAATAGCTTGATACAGAGCAAACTTGTCTGCACCCTGGATACCATTCCTGTATTGAGGATACAATTTGAAAACTGTTTCTTCAGTCTCTTTAGGTAGGTTTTCAAGGTTCAGCTTGGTCCGCCTGAGGTTTGAGATTGTCCATTCTCGGACACGGTTTGCAAGTTCGGACAAGGACGCCACAAGGTCGCTGTCGGTAGCCTGAGACTGCGCGCGTGTAAGAGATGATATACTCGATTTGAGGGAAATGATTTGCTGGAGTCTTTCCTGTGACTCTTTCTCTGCAGTCTGCAAACGGAGTTTCAGATCGCCTACTTGACCTGGTGATTTTGGCCGGTCGCTATCTTGTCGAGCACTCTTTAGATAAAGGAGCTGGTCCTCCAACTGGGCAACCCGGGAACGTAATTCGTGGTTTTGGCGCACGAGCTCTTCGCTTTCGCGCTGTACGGCGTCATTCATTGTGCTCTCCCATAGGTTGCTCGAATCTCTGCGTGCTTTTTCCGTGTCTGAAGGCGACTGGGTACGCTGCTGGCCCGATTCATTAGTGGCATCCTGGCTAGGTGGTGCTGGATCCTCGACGTTGGTGGTAGGCTGGCTAGGCCCCGGTGTGCGTCCACTCTGGTGCTTGTGCATATCATTCAAACGAAATATGTGTTGGCGTGCTTGGTCCTTGGGCACATTGGCAGCAGATCGTGAGGCCTTTGGCGGGGTAGTGGTGTTGTTTGACGTCGACTGCGACTGTGACTGTGGCTGGCGGTGGGGTTGCAGCCTACCAGAGCTCTTTCGTTCGGTCATAATCGAGACGAAACATGGCGAATTCAAGATTGCATCGGAATCACCATGACAGTCAAGGTTCTGTACGAGGCTGAGACTTTGGATGGTGTCGAGGTGAACTGCTGTCAAGAGGCCAGCCGACGAGACCCAATCGTGCAGCTTTGGGCCAGCCCACCATGGTTGCCCCTGCAGCTGCTGCATCTGCCATCTTCGTGTACATACCGCGACCTACCTAGGCTTCGGCCTGCCACTGCGCTCTACCCCGGGACCCAGATTGTGCAATGATCTCAAGAAAAACCGCTTGATAACGGCGGCGTCTCCTGTACGCGCCGTTGCACTTCAATGAGCTTCTGCTCTCCTCTGGCCGGATTCAGCCCCGCGGACACAGTACCCCACGCGACGCCCACGCCTGTCCTTCGACGCCCATAGCACCGCCACAGCCAGTACGAAGACTGGGGAGCAGAAAATGAAGAGCACATTCCCCAGCAGAGGGAGTAGCATACCCACCACCTTCAACCCGGGCTCCAATGGCAGCGTGGACGCTGGCGGCCTGCCACCGCCCACCACTCCCCCCAAAGACAGGCTGGTTGTAGGTGTTGACTTCGGGACCACATACAGCGGTACATACACCCATTGCAACCACGGCAACCATGTCGCCTAATGCAAACCAAGGCTGACCACCGACAGGCGTTGCTGCCGTGTATAGCGCGACTCCTGACGATATTGACATCATCAAGACTTGGCCCGGTGGAAACGGTGAGCTCTTGGCCATCTACAACACCATGTACCTTGAAGAGCTAACATGTGCCCCCAGGTATCACCTCCGACAAGGTCCCTACAGAGATTGGTTATAGCGAACCGGCCCTGCAACGCGACTCTGCTGCCTCGCTCAATCCGCTAATCACGCCCGCGCCGACCATCAAATGGGGCTTCCAGTTCAAGCCAGACGAGACGCGCCTTCGATGTATCAAGCTCTTCCTCGACCGAAATCAGAAGCTTCCGCATTATGTATCGCCTCTGGATACAGCTGCCCAGCTGCGCAAGTACGGTAAGACAGTTATTGAGGCAGCCACCGACTACCTGTCGCAAATATACAAGCATACCATGGAGACTTTGACCCGGAGATATGGCGAGGCATTTATCAGTTTGACCAAAGTCGAGTTTGTCCTGACGGTACCTGCTGTGTGGTCAGACGCGGCCAAGGACGCAACTCTAAAGGCTGCCGAAAAGGCGGGCATGGGCAAAAGACATGAACTGAAGCTCATATCTGAACCCGAAGCGGCTGCCGTATATACCCTCAAGGCTATTCAACCAAACCACCTCAGGACCGGTGACAACTTTATCGTATGCGATGCAGGGGGCGGCACGGTCGATCTGATTGCCTACAAGATCAACCAACTACACCCTTTGCGCGTTGAAGAGTCGGCTGTTGGAACTGGTGGTCTCTGTGGCTCGACTTTTATCAACTACCGCTTCGAAGAACACGTTAAGCAACGGATCGGAGCAGAGCGGTACATGTGGATGCGCGAGAAAAAGCAAAAGACGTGGAACATGGGCTTGAAATACTTCGAGGAATTCGTCAAGCGCAACTTCAACGAGGAGGAACACAGTGAAGTCAACATTCCCTTTCCGGGTCTTCCAGACGACGAAGAGGCGGGGCTGGATTCCGGGTTCCTTGTCATGAGTGCCGAGCAAGTCAAGAGTCTGTTTGATCCAGTAATAGAACAGGTCATCCATTTGGTAGAGGGTCAAGTTGAGAGTATAAAGGAAAAAGGAGGTCTGGTTTGTGGCATTATATTGGTAGGAGGATTCGGGCAGAGCAATTACCTCTACAGTCGGATGAAATCACATTTCAACAGCGCGCCGCCGCCGCCATATACTGAAAGGGCAACCCATTATGTCGCCCCGGATGCGGCACAGTCTATTGAGATTTACCAACCCATACATGCCTGGACCGCTGTCGTGCGCGGCGCCGTACTGAGAGGTCTGGAGGGTAACATGGTCATCAGCCGACGAAGTCGCTGGCACTATGGCACAAGCTACGCAACTGTTTTTGACGAGTCCAAACACCCCATCTCTGACCGTTATTGGAGTCCGCTGTGGGAGCGGTGGATGGTATCTGACCGAATGCAATGGCACATTGCAAAGGTAATGCTGCATTCTCCCCCTTTAGCTACACAATCAATCCATTGACACTTACCAATTGTAGGGCGCCCAAGTATCAGAATCCCGTCCCATATCTTTTCACTACACACGCAACTTCCGTCCTGGTCAATCCCTCGTTGTAGAAGACGACCTCATTGCCTGCGACGCTGACGTTGCCCCGGATTCTCTTACCAAAGATCTCATTAACGTTTGCACACTCACCACCGACTTGAATACCGTGCCTAAAAGCCTGTTTACCCGCCTGAAAACAACAAAGGGGGTTGAGTTTGATAATCTGGATTTTACACTCGACATGCGGTGTCAGAGTGCAGGGTTGGTTTTTGAACTCAAGGTCGATGGGGTACGGTATGGGAGTGTTGAGGCAAAGTTTCATTAACGGAGTTGTGAGGGGAGGGGGGAGGGGGGTAATATGTAGACATATGTCAAAAATGATACTGCACGTGTGTATAGCCTTCGTACATGTCTTTTCCCTCTCGGTGATTTTATGCAAGCTCTTGTGATCCGTAAGGGTTTTTCCTTGGATCATGTTCTTCTCTTATTCTTTCGTGTTATTCTCGTCTCTCTCACACACACGCAAGTTTTAAAATCTAACGAGAAAGTATACACTATCCTATCATCTCCACTCCCCTTCATCCCACCGCATACACATGTTGCATATCCACCCTTGTATCTTATCCTCGTATCTCCCCTCGTATCCACACCATCTCCCACAATCTCGATCCCATCTCGCCAACTTAGTCCCGATAAAACCCCCCACAAAGGTCGGCGAAGTTTGCAAAACTCCAGCACAATACCTTCCCAACATGACTCCTTCCCTCTCAAGCCCACCACATAACCGAGTAAAACCACTACAATGTCACTCAACTCGTCCCACACACACACACACACACACACACACAAACCCTTATACCCTGCCATTTATACCGCACCACCGGCGCTGAAACAAATCTCCACACATACACATATACGACCGACTGACCAACCCAGAACAAAGGGAACACCCCATGTCCCTTCCAGACGCCTCTCAGTACGAGAGTGGGGATTGGAGGAGGGGGGGGAGGGGGTCCGTGTCTGATGTCGTACATGAAGTATAATCCACATTCCCCACTCACACCTCCTCTAACCTACCTACCTCTTACTTCGATACGTACGTACGTAACGTAGAGCGGCTTTTGATACACGACACAAACTAAGGTCTGGGGAAGAGTAGGTATCGACTGGGACAAGGGGTTATGGGGGGAAACACCGATTAAGGAGTTAGATGGGGTTGTTGCATGGGGTTGGGGGGGAAGGGGGTCTCTTGCCAAGAAAGTGGTGAGTGGTGGGCCGGTTGTATGCTTCCTTGGGTGTTTTGGGAGGGTGGGCGGAAGTAGACAGGCGGGGGGTTTTTTTATTTTTGGGCGTGTGACATCTTTCTTGGGTTGAGTGTGGTGGGTGATTTCGGGAGGAGAGAGTGCGTGTGTCAGAGAGAAATGGAAAGAGAAATGTGACAGTATGCATGAAGAGTAGTATACGTGGGAAAAAAAATGACCGAAAGCAATAGAAAATTTCCTTAGATCACCTTTTTTTTCTTGGTGTTTTCTTGGGAGTTTTTTATTTGTTTTTTGTTTTCTTCTTTCGTCCTCGGACCGTTTATCCAACGTCCTCATTACACAATTGCCATGGTGGCCCAAAAGAGCATAAGAAAGAAGTACGCAGGGAAGGAAGAGTGGAGATGCAAAGGAAGAAGCAAAAAATAATGGGGAAGACGCTAATGCAAGTGAAGTGGATGAAGGAGCAACGAGGGGGCTGGTCTGGAGGAAGAGGGGGGGCCTGGCTCCACAACCCAGTGTTCCGACTCCGAGTTAGAGGTAGTAAAGACCAAAAAAAAGCTCGGATGACTTGCGGTGTGTCGCTCATTTGGTCCTTTTCTCTTTTTACCACCCCCCACATACCTCTCGTACCCCTCCCTCTCTCCACTTGCCATGGTCCCGCGGACCGGTGGGAGAAATCCCGTATGCACATCATCAGCCGCGGATGCCAGTCAAAGACAGACAGGCGGGACCTATGCTTCAAAAAAGATGGGTATGTGAATGCAAATGGTATCGACAGACGGACGTATGCAAGTACTCCACACGTAAGTACTTACAAAGGCACGAACGCACTGCTTGTGTAAGGAGACCAAGGCCTAGATGACGGGGTAGTAGCGTGTGTTTTGTCAAACCTTGTATTCCTGGTGGTACGCACGCGTACTGCCTTACCGATCACCAATACGCGCTCGCACCAACACAAAAGCCTGTCGAGATACCCAGAGATAAATTTTGAGCGAGAAAGAGAGAAGGACAGATATGGTGGTATGGAGAAACAAACGCCGTCATGTATGCCAGGGCGAATAGGATCGATTGCGCGTCACGGCGCCTGTCAGTTGAGCGGATACAGACGGTCGCATGTTTTGCTTCCTGTGTTTGGATTCACATGCGCGTTGTTTGTCAGATGCAAGTGGGTTTGTGGCGTGGTTCGGATTTCCTGCCCGGGTCGGGTGGAAGGATTGGAAGATTGACGGCTAATGTAAAGCAAGCGGTGGCGTTTGCAGCGTAGTGGAGACAGGAGCGCATGCCTTTGAGGTCACGCTGCCTTGCTTGCATGTACTGTAAAGTGTTTTGGGTGTTTAGACAAAAAGGTTGGGAGGGGGCTTCATTGGTGTAGAGATTAGACATGGTAAGCAGTGGTTGCATGGCGTTCCGATTTGTTGGGTTTGTGGGTTGGGATTATTTTGCGCGCGGTTAAACAAGGCCAAAAGGCATGTCATTTCAAAGGGCTGAAATGGGTCAAGTTGATTGCGTACATAATACGTACCACTACACAATGGACACCGCGCCCTCATGGGCCATGGTGGAGTCTTGACGAGACGGAACGGGAGGTACGGAGCGCGTCAGGGCGGCTGGCAAGAGACACGGACAGGCGGATCTGACAGGGTTCATGTATGCGGCATGAGACGCGACTTGGTCTTGGGGGGAGTGACGTGATGAGTCGTCGCGGTCACAAACTTGTTGGTGCGCTGCGTGCTTGAGCAGAACGGCGAGGTGATAACGGAGGAGCAATACATATCCCCGTGCATATGGTTGGTTGGCCTGACGAACAAGGTCGAGGTTGAGAGAGGGACGACTGCGATAGGCGTTGTAACCTTCCATTTGCATTGCAGGGTCCACGAGCCGATGAACTGTCACACGGCAACGGCCGGCCTTTGTGGCACTAGTGACGTTGTCATTGTCGATTCACGTCCAAATCGATGACAGCTTGGTGGTGTGTGCGGCGAGGCCGGAGCGGAGAGCAAAGACAATGATGGATGGTTGGATGAATGGATGGATGATGGATTGGGGGGGGGCGCTGGATGGACAGGGGGCTGGACTGGATGCACAATCTGGGTCTAACGAGGAGCAAAAACCCACAGACACAGCGCAGCGCTTAGCTGTTTGGAGACAAGCATGACAGGCTTACCAGAGGACCCAACACGCTGTGCCACCATTATTGCTGCTGTCCTTGGCACAGTCTTCAGCGAACATGTCGTCCGTCCGCGCATAGGGCTGCATGCTACGATGGCGGCGGCCTATGCACCATCATTAATCTGTGCAGACGGCACCATGAGTTCGTTGCCTGGCAGCTACCAGAACCCTTCAGCAACGGCTGTGTGCTTCCACGGCCCCGGTACCAGTTTTCTTACACAGTTGCAACACAAGCGCACGCACTTGGCTATGCCCGATACGACTCCTGCATATCCACTACGCTGCGAGCTAGTGATTCGACGCACCCTCTCCACATGCAGATGCAGACCCTTCACCAGTACAGGTCCTCTGGACCCGCTCTGCACCAGGTCCAAGGAAGAGAATCCTGCAGTAGCAGCTGGCTGGGAATAAGCAAAAAGAGTTGCATCCTTTCGTAACAAAGTCCCATCAAGCCCACAGCTGCTTATCCGCCTAGTCGGAGTCGCTCCGCCTGCTTCACACCCCAAGCTACTTGCAGTAACACGGCCGAGAGGATCATCAGCAACCGAGGCTTTTTTCCTCGACTTCTTTGATAATGCATGATTCACACGATACCACTGATTAGCAGGCGTGATCTGTAGTCGAAACCCGCTCAAGTGCAAGCGCCTTGCCGGCGCAATGTCGATGGGCCTCCTTCCCGGCTGCGTGGTAGCGGGAAAAGGAAAGAAAAAATTCCCACCAAGTCCAAGGGAACGGAGGATATGAGCAAAAGGCAATCTCCGTTCGCCTCCGCACCATCAACCACCAACACGACACAGCAACATGGTCGCGAGCTCCGGAATTTGAAGGATCACGGGCGACTGTGGAGTCGAGCCGACAGCGTCCGTGTGTTTGTCGGCCAAAGAGGGCGTGGAGAAGAGCAATGAAGTGGGCAAAAATAGCTGCTCTACCTTGTCGTTATTGCTAGCTCTCTTTTTTGCAATAACCGAGGGCCCGGGAAACTTGTGCGTAACTATTCCGTCCGTTTGATGAGCCAGCCACGACAACACTGAAGGGCCTGGGCGTCAGTTGTGCAATCTCATCCAATTGCCACTATTCTCTGCTGCAAGCAAGGTTACTCCCCTTCTGTATAGTAATACCGGTTTCGCCCTACGAAACCACATTAAAATTACACCTTGAGCAGAGCCGAGGTAATAGCGCCTTGCTTCATCTTCCGTATCATTATACGCAGGTACCGGTGGCAGCGATGCTGATGCTGATGCTGATGACGATGACGATGACGATGACGATGATGATGATTAAAACAGCCTAAACGTCAGTGCTTTCACTTTGCAAATTCTATGCCATATCCTGTCCACCGCTCGTTTGGCAACAAGTCGGCCCGTGATCCGCACACCTTGTGTTACAGATGGACAGATTGGCATGTGTACAGAGTACTTCATACGTACACACGTATACACCTGATCCATTAGCAGAAAAGGAAGGACGTTAGCCATACATCTAGGCAAGTTCATGCGACAAATCAAATCATGCCTGGATTCAACTATGCCTCCAACTCCATGGTCGCTAAACAAATGCCAACCGTTAGCGTGCGTGGTTGCATCTCGGATAGCCATCGGTTGTTAGGCTATTGGAAGAAACATGCTACAGCTCTAATAAAAAACGTATCCGAAACCGAGGCCACCAACGACCCAATCTGGCACGGATATGCCTTGTTCTGGTAAGATAGAAAAAAGTGGGCGCCGTGAGAGTAAGCTCCGTTCGAAACGTTTTTGGCCATGTACAATACGGAGTACATACCTTGGGACCCTTGGAAATCAGCTTATGGGAACTTCGACATCAGACTGCGCACTGAACTTCCATCCATCCAACCAACCAAACCATGGAAAGTAACGTATCATTCCCTTGCAGCAGACGATGGCAAAAGTGAAAAAAAAAACCATGGCCTCATTCATCTGCCGAGGTACTCTAGCGGTGAGGTAGCGTTAACTTGTATTTGGGGTCTCCGATTGTATGCGCGTGCTACAAGCGTCATACACGAGCCCCCAACCCTGCCGGTCCAGATGGCGGCGGTCTAATTCGTGCTATTTATACAAAATTTGACAGGCTGAAATGGGTACCCAAAATGTCTGATGAAAGCGCTAAACGTGAAAAAAAAAATCAAAAGACTGGCCTTGTCAAGCAAATGCTGGATGAACGGTGGAAAAAAACAAATCAACCGTCTATCAAGAACTGCAATGCACCAATGCCACGGGCCCACGCAACTGTTGCTGAGCCGTTGGAAAAAGCAGAATAACTGGATCATATCGGATCCAATCATGCGATCGCGCCTTGTAACTCCTTAAATAAACTGCTCTTGTACCAACAAAAGACATGCAGTAGCAAAACTGATCAAGTCTTATGCATCAATTCAATCCTGAGAAACGGGTCTGAAATATGCGTCTTGTATGTACGTGTGAGTCTTGAACCCATGGTGTCTGTGTTGCGACGAATCTTGGCCAAACTAGTGAGAGCCTCCGAGAGGTGCAAAAGCGCTTCAAGATGCCGAGTAGAATTGCGGTAAGCCTGCCTGGCCAAATCCAACCGGGGGTGTTGCCTCTTCTTGTACGCGATCCAAGTGTCCCGGCTCTGCAAACCAATGCGCGCTCATCGATCGTGCAGACGAGGGTATTGGCGCGCCATGGCTTGGCATCGTGTCGTATGAAGTCCACGTTGGCGGATAGTAAGAATGATTTGGAACCACAGGCGCAGAAAGGGGTGCGGGGCCCGAACTACTCAGTGTAGTCGCATGTATCGTAGCAGGGTTTGTGTCTATCGTTGCAGGAAAAGGATATGGAGAGGTTCGCCGATAATTATCGTTTTGAATGCCCAGTCCCTGACCAGGATACTGCTGTGGAAGACCCTCAATGTTTCCGTAAGACATTGAACGAGCCGGTGGTTGGAATGAGGGCTGTTGCCCCCAGTGTCCATCTTGAGGACCGTAGGACATGGTGGAGCTTGTGCTCATGGCAGCAGGAGTATGTCCACCTGAAACGTTGGATTCACTTCCGTATGCAGAGTTCACCGTTGAAGGCGAATGTCGCCATGATGGACTTTCAGCTACGGTAGAAGACGGCAAGAAGCTGTTGGTTGGCGGCCATTGAGTATCTATAGGGGGTGGGTAAGGATATGAAGGCTGTTGCACGGCTACTACAGTCGTTAGCGTGTCGTGGAGAGGGAGCGGAGCTGTCGCATGATACTTACGACCGTTGGAGCCAGGCGCGTGATGTGGGTCGTTTTCGAGTTCCATGGGGTAGCCATAGCTTAGAGGTTGCGGCGCTGAAGGTGGCCCTGAGAAGGGCGTTCTGAAGTCGCCCATTGCATCTCCAGAAGCGGAAAGAGGGTGCCTGGGTGAGGTAGAAACCGGTGTGGCTGGCTGCACTGCGCTGTTTGATTTGGACGAGATAGATTGCGACTGTGGCATGTCGGCGTTGTGCTCGACTGGATAAAAGTTACATTCCTTCTTCAGTCGAATGCAGTTTGAACAGCGGCCATGACGATCATCGGGTGCTAGCAGGCATCGAATCTTGCGCCTTCTGCAATGTCCTGTTTGACTACTAGTCAGTTGTCATGATCTCGTTAGCAGCACGAAGCTTCATAGACTGACCACATGCAACCGAAGTTCGATGATAGCCCAGCTTGTTGCGCGGTTTGTTGCTTGTTGGCGACAGGTCGCCGGGGTTGGCAAGGGCTAGGTGACGCATGTGTGGAGTCGAGGTGGACTTGCGAAGCTCTCCAGCTGCTTTGGTTTTGGGAGAGCGTCTTTTCTTGCTCGCGTTGGTGTGAGGTTGAGCAGTAGGTTCCTGGCTAGTTAGGCTACCTTGGAAGGGCTCGGTTCGTTCTGTGGGGCTTGGTGTGATGGTGGTGGTGGTCTCGGGGGCATGGGAGTGATTAAACCCAGGAGTTTGGTTCGAGGGGTTGAAGGGCATGGCGTCTTGAACAGGTTGTAAAAGCAACGAGTGTTCGAGTCGAGATACCGTTTTCTTTGCGCGGCGTTCTGTAACTACAGCCATGTGTAATATTGTCGCAAGACCCGAGTGTCAGTGCCCAAAACCTGGTGGCGCATTGAAGGACCTAAGGATATAAGCATCAAATGTTTAAAGTTCAGCAAGGGCCCCACAACAGGAGATTGTTGGAAAGGGAGCTAAACGGCGATACATACCTGGAAGGTAGGGCAAAGCGACTTCTCAAACGTTGGAGCCGGCACTACGATCTGGTCTGCGGGAGTAGTTGGCGGGACACTTGCTGATCTACCGAGCCATGGGAATCCTGATCTAATCAATACTTTCGTAAACGCACTGACAGGCCGGGGCCGAGAACGAAGAATAGTCAAGGGCCTGGACAAATAAAACGACGTGGTAGGAAAGCGAGGATGAAGCAGTTGCGCACTGACACTAATAAGTGACGGGTAGTTTGGCAGTTAGTCGTTTGTACAGCAAGCTGTGCCTCAGCGGGGGTGTATTGAAATGTTCAGAGTAGACAGGGCGCCAAAAGCAATGGCTGCATACGACCCAGGACAAGTAGGGTCCGCATATAGAAATTTAGACGAAGCTGTTTGGTTGAATGCGTGGATGATTAAAAGTGGCGAGGTATGTCGACGACGCTACTACGCGACAGGACTGCTGCGTTAGGGCGCCTTTTTTTGCACCAAAGGATTTCACAGGGTTCAACAGCCCTCCTTCCTCACAAGCACAAGATCATCTTTGTGAGGCCAGGTTGCTGTTGGTGGGCCTGCATGAGCCAAGTGATGTGCGGGTATGGATGGAAGGGTGTGAAGACGGACGAGGGCTAGAGTCCAAGCGTCATGACCTGTTGGCTCTCGGACCCCTTTGGACTTGTGTGGTGCTTGGGACACTCTTGCCTGTCATGTCTCGACGGTGTGATGCGATGACAGCCAGCGGTAGCCGCCTAGCGTCAGCGGCGGCGTGATCCACCCACTTGTATTTGTGACGCTTGGAGGGGTGTGCTCAAGCCACGATAATCTCCTACATAGGCCTAGTGGAGCAAACTATACGATAATGTGTCGTTGGGTCCGATGCTATATAAGGGCCGTATTCATGGCGGCGCACTGCAAGAGCCATCAATCCGTCAAGCATATAGACAGGCTACGTGAGGTTAATTTAGAAAGGCTATGTGCACGCGAACGTTGAGGAGGGGGAGGGGGGCAAAGAGGTAGTGGTGGTGGTGGTTGAGCTAGCTAGGGCTGGCTGGGATCTCAGATGACGAGGACGAGAGGAGGGCTCTGAGCCGGATGGAGACAGGGCCGACGTGCCTTGTGCCCACAGAAGGAGCTGACGCAGGCTCCAGGGCCGGAGAGTTTGGTTTGCGCAAATGAGAGCATGTGTGGCTCTGGCAAGAGGGTAGTGACGTGACATGGTCGGTAGCGAATGCCCGCTGCGATGATCCCCCGACACTGGCTGGAGGTGTCGAGGCGCTGCAAGGTGCGTGGCCGCAGGGATAAGGCCGACGTGAACTGCTGGCGGCGTCATGGTATGCTAGCGTCTGCGACAAATTGGCTGCGACAGCGCGTCCTTCTCCACATTGTTCATCTCGCTAGCAGGCCCTGGCGAAGCTCGAGTCTTGTCCAGTCGCGTCATGGTGATTAAGGACAGCCAGCGTTTCCACAGCCGGGTTGCACAAGGGCTGGTCCGGGGTGTGGATGTCACTGGCCAAGTCTCGCAAGTGGATTCGAGTACGTGGTGAGGGCCAGTGGTCGATTAATGCGCGCGAGGCCTGACCCGGCGCTGTGGCTATGGTCTTGATGCATGACCTGCACTCCAATAGCGCGGCCGGTAGTCCAAGCCTGGCGATTGCACGTGGGAGTCGCGATCTGATACAAAATCCTTTCGGTCCTTCTGAAGCGTCTCGATTTTTCTCTCGCCATCTGTGCGGCATCTATCGTACCGCCACCAGGTGGGGGGCAAGGGTGGTTGGTTGGTGAGGCGCGGAGGGTATCGCCTGGGCAGTCTGTCTGCTGGCCTCGGAGGTCGTGATATTCTGGTAAGTAGCAGCTGGAGCAGCCAAGGGCGACGTCGGCGAGCACCCTGTCCTTGTCATGTCGCCTGTTCATGACGGCGGAGCGAGGGCATAGGGTGCTCGAAGCTTTTTTTCTCCTTGCCTTCCTTTGGACCAGGTCTCTGGTATTGCCTCAGTCTAGCTCATGTCGGCACACTGGCTTGCGCAGCTGCAGAGATACAGCAGCAGGGCACTAGTGCGGCCACTGTGTGCATTTTGGCTAAATGGGTGTGTAGTGAGTGTAGTTGTATCTGAAACGCTCCGCACTTCAACCGATCGATGGAGGGCGCTGGGCGTCGAGGGCGCACGATCAGTAGGCTGGTGTGGGCGGGCACTCGCAGGCGAGAGGCGCTGGTGAACGGCCTCAGTGCAGTTGGGGTTGGTGTTGGCGTTGGCCGTGGCCGTGGTGGGTGGTGCCTTCCCCCCCTGGCCGCTCGCCGTCCTTGGCCGCTCGCTTAGTCGCGACTTCCGTGCCTTGGGGGTTCGCGATGCGCGCCTGCCAGTTGCAGCCAGTGGCAGTGGCAGTGGCAGCAGCAGCAAGCGGCCCATGGCAGGAGCGACCGACCGACGACATCTCACGCCGCCACACTCTATGTAGTAAGTAGTACGGAGGTGCCTTTCAAAAGTATTGTCTGACGCTAATCTCGGCGATTCGGCGCAACTCTTCTTGGCGCAACTC